GGGTGGGGTAAAAGTGGAGATGACAGCAGGAGGGGGAGTCACCACAGACGTTGGTTTTGGTCGCGGAAAAATGCAATACTAATTTTTGGAAGGGTAAAATGCTGTTTAGGAGCAGGAATTGGCAAAGGGGACAGGGGATATGGGGTTGTGCGGATTTTTTGGTGCTAAGCAAAAAACTAGGTGTTGAATAAAAGCCAGTAAACTTGTGTCTGTACTCCAAGATTTGACCGAAACAAAAAATCCAAATCCTTTCCCTCCTTTTCCTCCCCCCTCCCCACGCCTTAAATTCACAAGTGCATTTTGAATGGGCAGAGAACATCCCCTTAAAATTCCAGCCATCCAGCTTTCCTGGTTCTCGACTTAGCGATTTCTGAGTTTAACCTGGCTAAACTAGATATGTAGCAAAAGACAAACTTTTCGTGCTTTTCCCTCCTTATCGTACTTGCACAGTCCAATCCATTCGCCCAGCTGCTTCTTTTCTTTCACTCTGATCAGCGGGATCTGATGCTCACTGCAGAGTGCTTCCACAAGTTTCGTGTACATCGGCTCATCGCAATTTTCCGCTAACACACAAAAATATGCTTCACGCCTACAAACATTTCTGAATTTGAGAAACTATGAAAGAAATGACCGATGCTTTAAAGAACTGATGTCCACTAATGTCCACTAATTCACTTTTTTTTGGTTTTTTTTTGGTTGATTGCTCATGCGCCATCTCTTCGTTAGTCGTCCAAGTGCTGAGCCGATTATAGTATCTAGGTTGACCCAGGAAACCGAAGTGCCGAAGGCGCGAATGAATACAGAAAGCGAGAATAGTATGAGGAAAAGAACGCACTTTTCTGCTTCTTCTACTTGCTTACGGTCTTTCATTTCTTCTGTTTTACATTTCTTTTAACTTAATTAATTCCACACAATTATTTTGTTATCGTCGTACTGACGAGGTCCAGTTGTGGTAACGGTAAGAAATGTATATGACTTAATGGACCGGAACATTTCTTTCCTATTATAAATATTTCTTTAGAAACCTTCCCCATCTTACTATACTTTTTCTCCTTTTTTTTTTCTTGATATTTTCTCTTCAACCTTTAATAAGAGTGAGATAAGACGGTTCGGTTCATTAAGTCATATACGCCTTAACTCAACATTGCGCAACACGGCCTCGTCAGTATATGCCGGTCGCAGTATTTAATGCAAAAATGCTTCCTCTTGGATACCATTTCGCTGTTAATAGTAATGCAAGCAACATGTCTTGCTTAATAAACAGTTATACTTTTGCTCAGATCACAGTCTTGTCCTGCATGTTACTTGTCTGAGAGAAAGTCTAATTGGCTAATATGGTGATACTCCGTGCATTCTTTGCTCTTTTGCTTTCTGAGTCAATAACTTGCTCTTCACCTTTCACCACTGACCATGTTTCGTCCCCGTCCATCATTGATATCAGCACGATGTTTTTATTGAAAAGCTGGGCCTGATCATTCCAGTTCGACCCTTTGAGGACATCGTTGACGCGTTTGCAGGAGTAACAATATCCAGCCAAAGATTGTACGTAGGCAGAAGGGGCCTACGTGTTTCTGGCGCAAATTTCACAGCAGCGTCGATTTTCTTGAAAAAATAGAAAAACACGGGACAGGATCCAGTTGCAACTGTTGCATCGAATATTTCATGATGACTTTTCAATCCTTGTGCGTAAGCAGAAGG